TCGTGATGGGTTTCAATAATGCCGACTGCTATCAGACGCAAAAAAGGTTTGTTATAAATATTAATTAAAATAATTTTCTAAATTATATAAAATTGAAATAACAAAGGTAAATATTACCTGTTCAAAAGGTTTGTTATAAATATTAATTAAAATAATTTTCTAAATTATATAAAATTGAAATAACAAAGGTAAATATTACCTGTTCATCATGAAAATGAGCTCTCCCCTGGGTTTCAATAATGGGGACTGCTCTCAGACGAAAAAAAGGTTTGTTTCTTTTGTTAATGTACCCCAGTCTGGAAGCATTATATATCAAGTGTACCCCAGCCTGCTCGTGATGAGTTTCAATAATGCGGACTGCTCTCAGACGCAAAAAAGGTTTGTTATAAATATTAATTAAAATAAGTTTCTAAATTATATAAAATTGAAATAACAAAGGTAAATATTACCTGTTCATCATGAAAATGCGTTACAACTCTCCTGTTCGTGATGGTTTCAATAATGCTTTGTTATAAATATTAATTAAAATAATTTTCTAAATTATATAAAATTGAAATAACAAAGGTAAATATTACCTGTTCATCATGAAAATGCGTTACAACTCTCCTGTTCGTGATGGTTTCAAGCTCTCAGACGCAAAAAAGGTTTGTTATAAATATTAATTAAAATAATTTTCTAAATTATATAAAATTGAAATAAAAAAAGTAAATATTACCTGTTCATTATGAAAATGCTTTATAGCTCTCCCGGATGGGTTTCAATAATGCGGACTGCTCTCAGACGCAAAAAAAGGTTTGTTTCTTTTGTTAACGTACCCAGTCTGGAAGCATTATATATCAAGTTTACCCCAGCCTGGAAGCATTATATTGTATATGCGATTGAAAAATTATTCTCTGTATTTTTTTTTCTCTGAACTCGTGAATGATGAGTTGTAATGGTGGTAGTGAATATCCTTTTATATAATTTTTTATTAACAAAAGTGATAAGATAATTATGGATTGTATTTGGATAGATTTTAAATACCATGATTTTTGGGATGCAACAACAAAATATGCAATCACATGTATATATCTTATCACGTTAAAGGTATATCCATCCCTAAAAAACAGGAAAAAAAAACCATATATTTTGAAAGAATTTTTAAATTAGTTTCTACAAATGGAAAGTCAATAGGATTGTTAGACCAAATTTTTAAAAGTTTCTATAAATGATTTATTGACCTCTCTTTTTCAATATATATAGATTTTTCGATTGCAGAGACAGGCTCGTTCGTGTTACAGAACAATCGAAAATAAAAAAAACATGATTTCCGGCCAGTCGGACCGGTCACGACCGGCCGTCGGGGCCGGACGCCATTTGGGCCGTCCGGTTTCGGCGGCCGGACAAAAATATATATTTTTTTTTTTACTTTTTGGAAAAATGACAAGGACAAAAATGTTCAAAGAAGGCGGTAAATAATAATAGAGGGCGGTGAATAGTAATCCCCTTCTTATTTGAACCACATATAGGTGATAAGTCGCGTGGACCAACAAGATAAAGATCTCGTGATCTTTGCACTTAATGGAAATGAATTAATAAATAACACTCTTGAGATCTGACTCAATTTAAGGCGTTGATGTTCTAAGAGTCACTGTGTCTTTTAGTGACCCGCGTTTTTGTCCAGGTTGTTATAAGGTTTTAAGATTAATTGTTTTAAGTTAGTAATGAAGTTAATCTCCACGAGCATAAGGAATATCATAACACTAAAAAGGTACTTAATTTTAAGATTAACTAATCGAAGAGGAATGGTGTCAAATTAATGTGATGCAGTGTGTGTACTCGATACCACGTGTTCGATCTGAGCCAAAACTAATTTATTAATGTGCATGTACTAAATCTAATCACACCTAGATGTGCTCAGCCATGCCAATTGCTAATCACACCTTGATGTGCTCATACACACACGGCTCTTATCATCAACTTCCCAATTGCCATCATCTTTAACAGCCTTCACCCACATTAATTTCACCGAAACTTATTTAACATCGAGATTATAAATTAAATACCCTAATTTTTAATTAATTTGTCAACCCAAAAGAGTAAGTTAGTCTTTGCTAACATTAATGACAAAGAATCTCACCTTTACAAAGTTGGAAATAAATTGAATATTGTGAAAACTACATATTTATTTGTACATAAGAAAAATAAAGTTAATTCATTTTTAAAAAGTATTTTCTAAAAAAAATTAAGTATCTACTATTAATAAAAATAATATAATACAATTTAAATAAATTATATACATTAATTGCATTCAAAATCGATATAAGTCGGCTTTCAATTTACGTTTGTATATATTAGTCAATTCTCAATTTTGTCAGTTAGTTAATTTGCATGTAAAAACCCATATACATGATTCCAATTCATATTTACAACTTAGCTATACGAAACAGATATAGTTCTCATATCTTTGCTATGCTAACCTATTTTTCACTAATTTAGATATTATCAGTATTTATTTTATATCTATCATATAAAATTTTCACTTTCAATAATTATAAACATTTTTATATACATTTAAACATATTGTTTGGGCTAATTCTTTATACACTCTATATATATATACATATACATATATTAAGGTTTATACATATGTTAAATCTAAGTGTATTTAAACATGTTTTGCTTACAAAATATTTTAGAAAAAAATTTAGGTGACTTCACATCTATATCTATATATATAAAATAAGAATTACCATTTACCAAAAATTGTAGCAAAAAAATAGGTCAGAATTTAATACAGCCTATATATAGTAAGTTTTATTATTTTTCTTATTTTTTTCTTTAACAATCATACATCATTAAATGTTACTTTAAATTTCGGGCTTTAGTTCATTTTATTATTTAAAAAATCCGGCTAAGATTTATTAAGTGTGTATGTTTTTATTTTAATTTCTTAAATTGCATAATCAATCAAGTAATCTTAATTTTTTGAAAATTACTATGTTTATTTTTTATTAATATGCATAAAGTAAAAATAATTAATTCATCTTTAGATATATAATTTATAATCTTAATATACTTCATTTGGTGTAGACATTTATTATATGAATCATAAAATATTTTTATTTCATAAAATTAAATATATTTAAAGAAAATAAGAAAATTTCTTCGGATCAATCGGGTGATTGAATTAGGGTACTGCCCATGTTGATTGAATTACTTTTAGGTGATGTTTAAAATAGTAAAAAAAACTTGACACAACTTGGTTGGTCCCAGGTGACTAAGTTATGTATCAGTTCGACCACACCAAATCGATTATTGAACCTAAATATAAATTTTATATTGAAAATATGTTATTATGTGAATGTGATGTTGTCCAAATTTTAAATAATCGTATTAACAATACTTTTATGACAACATGTTTAATGATTTAAGAATATATGTACATCATTTTATTAATATTTATGTGAATTAAATAATATTTTATTATAATATTTATTAATGTACACTAAATATAAGGCTTTTAGAACTAGACTGTCATCGAAACGATCAAGCTATTTTATTAAATCATTTGTGGTTTGTTCAGATTTTAATTTATAAACATTATATATATATATATATATTACTTTTGTAATAAATTTAAATAAAATGTGTTATTAAGATATCTAAACGATTTATAAATTCAAATGTTTAAACTAACTGATAAATAATTTATAAATCTCTATTTTATTTAAATATGTAATTTAATTTAAAATAATTTTAAATATAACAAAATTTATTTAGAAAATCGTGTTGATCCTACCAGTCCAACCGACTGGTGTTGACGGATTCGAGAGTAAATATTTTATTCAAGCAAACTAGACTGGTTATAAACCGATTCTTGGTCCATCCGGTCGGACTATGTCCAAACCAGTTTAACTTAAAAACAATGGATAAATTATGATTACTGCTATTTATATATTAAATTTATAACACAATCGTAAATATTGTTTTCCCGTGCATCGCAAGGGCCCCGCACTAGTTTTTCAAGAATAGTATAGAATATTTTATATAATCTTACATATGCAATATAATATTTTGGGTGTTTTTTTTTCATATTTTAAACATACATGTTTTATATTCTTTTATACAAGAGAATTTTATATTGTATATCACATGTTAACTCTTTTTAATTATAATTTAATATTGTTTACTCACATTTTTTATTTATAATTATTATTTAATTATTTAATATTATTGATTCGTGCATCGCACAAGCTACACACTAGTTGATATACGGTTGAAACTAAATTCGTTTCGAATTTAAATATTTACTAGTTTTATATTCTTTTAATAAAATAAAACTTGTTGTACTTAAAATATATTCAAATGATCACAGGCGATAGTAGCAGGCACAAAGCCAGGCCCGCAAAGTTATGAACTTGTGAACTCCTAAGCCTCTGTTTGGGGGAACACACGCAGAAGGACAGTAGGGACTCACTGTTTGTCCAATACTATTTTCTCTCTCTTTCTCTCCCTCCAATTCAACTTGTTGACCTCACCAATGCAAACTTTGTCACTTCTGACTTGCAAACTGCAGCTACCGCTTCAGATTGCTTAATTTGTGCCATCCTTTTGAGTTACATCCCTACAGCTAGCTTATAATTTATTATCACTATATGTATTATATTTTCTCTTTTTGATTCTATTTGACTGACTGAATGAATAACACAGTGTCAATACCTACATAAAATTGTCATTAAATTAATTTCTAAGTAACTGGCATAAATGACTGAAAATTGGCACTTGGTGCGCATGTAGTCAAGTAGGAGACGATAGTGTAGAAATCAATAACACAAAATGACGCGTAAATCATAAAT